GCAGTGTTATGAGTGGGTCCCCATATCACATCTAATAGAGTGTCTACCCTGACGCATTTGTTTTCAAAACAGCAACTTGAACCCCGGAGGATATCTAGAGGCAAACGAGGGTAATATTGTCCCCTTGTCGGACGACGGCACGCTCAAAGACGACTCGGCGCTCATGAAGAGCGTACGCCTTTGGGAATCGGCCGCCGAGATTTTTGGCCGCCCATTCGAGGACACGAGACGCCTCAAGGACTTCATGGAAGAGGTCGGCTTCGAGGACGTTCACATTCTCAAGTACAAGTGGCCCACAAACACCTGGCCCAAGAACTCTCACTACAAGGACCTCGGCGCGTGGAGTTACGAGCACGTCTCGCTCGCCTGGGAGGGATTCCTGATGGCGCCCCTGACGCGAGCGCACAACTGGACGAGGGAGGAGGCCCTCGTGCATATCATGGAGGCGCGGAGGGACTTGTCGGATAGAACGATCCATGCTTACTTCAACGTGTGAGTGAAGCTCAATCCCCTTGCCTTGGAAGCTTTCGTGCTGATGTTTGATAGCTGGTCTATTTACGGAAGGAAGCCTCTGAAGGCTGATGACGCAGAAATTTGAGCAAGAGTAGTCCGCTTGTGTTGTCATCAGTCTCTAGATACTCTACTGGAGGACGAACTCAGGGCGACAACTGGCGATACCTCAGTCACTGGGACCCTCTTTATATGTGTAGATGAGAACGAGCTGGGCACCATCATTGGTTCGGGTAGTTGGTAGTAGACAGGATGATACGGGCCATGGCCTTTTAGTTCTGCTTTTCGAGCATTAGTCCGCCAATGGCAGTATTTGATCTGCCGCATCAAGATCTTATTTTCGTCATGAAGAGGGTTCTCGTAGGCTCATTCGACTCATTCGATTCAGTGAACTGGGCTTCATCACTAGGGTTGCTGTATCTCATCACTTAAGACATAGCCCTCAGGGGTGAGGACGAGGCTATCTGTTACAGTTCAAAGGTGCTTGTGAAGCTACAGGTGTAATTTGTCTCTTAACATATATCGCATGCTGATACGTGTCGCGCAAGGCCAATAGTTTTTTACAATGGGCTGTCACAAATATAAAAGTTTCGTCATGTCATTGAGTCAATTTGGAAAAGGCAGCCTGTTAAAACGCGGCTATGAAATATGAGATTCTTCTCATGACATGAAAAAAGCGACCAGTCAGAGACAACTTTGAAGTTTACATTTACGAATACGCGTGCCTGACTCCGCGAAAGGAGAAAGGTATGAGGTAGTTGCAGCTCAATATCTTCCGCAACAACCACTAATCGTGGTGCGGCTTCCATCTACTATGAGTGGCCAGCTTCACCGCTCATTCAACTCTATGACGTGAAAGATAGAACAAGAATAGCAGCCATATGGATGGAGCGCTCGAATTCAAGAGAACGGTTTATTTTCGAAGCTGAGTCCACGGACAATGAGGGTATTGTCCTGACCCCAAGGACAACATACCCGAATCGCTGAGTCTCGTTGCAATGTTGCTGCGGCAAACACTACAGCCTAACCACTACTATCGACTTTGACAAAGACAGAGGCGATTTCATTTCTTCATTCATTCACCATGAACGACCGGGCAAGAAGGTGATGGTATCGAGCCCCATGCCCAAAATTGTAAAAAGAAATAACTCAATGCGAAGGCGGAATTTAACCGCTGTAACTCCCCGAGGTGGGCTCGAACCACCAACCTCCAGATTAACAGTCTGACGCGCTAGCCAATTGTGCCATCGGGGATTTGAGCTTATTATCTGCTGCAAGTTTCCGACAATTATGCGTGCATCAATGCAAAAGCCAGGCCAAGGTAGGGTGTGCGACGGCCGCGACAGAGGTAACCTTCTCGGAACCTATCCGAAAGCGAACCCGCAAAACGGGGGTAAGCTGGTTGCCGGAAACAAGCGAAGAGAAAAACGAACCGAACGGCGCGAGTCCGACTCTCTCGACTCTTTTGTCCCTAGGGTGGTGGTTGTTTTCTTTCCCCACGCCAAATAAGCCCCGACTTCTAAGAATAATACCTACCCTATGGATACGTGCTACTTACCTTACCTGCTAGGCATTCCGTACCCCATGCCGCGGGGAGAAAAACCATTAGAACACGAACAAAGAAAACGCGAGAATAGAAAGATAGATAGCAGAGAAAATGCGATTCATATTGCCTGCTCAACGTCGCACACGCAGATCCCAATTTCGACGAGCTCTTCTCAGCCCTCTTTTTTTTCCTGCTCGTTCTCTATCTCTCTCTCCCTCTCTCAAAAGTCTTTCTTCCTCAATGCGCTGCTAATCCCGCCAACGAAAAGCCACCAAAAGCCTAGCGCTGCCAGCCAGGAAGGCCACAAGGCGGCGTCTAGCGGAGATGCCAAAATGACTGGCGCAGAAACAACCCGTGAATCACACATACACACACATCCTGTCGGGTCATCCATCGGCCATCCATGATCCCGCCCCCGGAAGGGGGGCGCTTTTGGGGCCTTGAGGCTCGCCGCGTCGGCTCCCACCTCCAGGCCCCCCCCCCCCCCCAGGGGCCTTTTTCGACTTCATACCTACGTCGTCCCATCGAAACAAGGCGCGCGTCCACGAAACCGTTAAGATTTGGTTCCCTCCTCTGCGTCCTTCGCGCGTTGCCAAGAAGCGGGAGAGCGGGCGCTGAGTAGGGACCAATATTCCTTGAAGACGGTCTGAGCTTTTCGTTTTCCTGACTTGACTGAACGTGAGGAAGCTGGCCTTCTCTTTAGACTTTGACGCTTTCCCCGTGCAATCATCTTGCCCCCCCGACGTCAAAGAGGTTCAGAATTACCGTAATACCCGGTACATCCCAAAATCGCCATCATGGTTCGATTTCCCCATCCCTTAACGAGATGAGTGAGTGATCCATGAGGCCTAGCTAGCATATCAGGTGGTCTGCGGAATTCCGTCCGTCCACACGCCAGTCACCAGAGAGACGCTTGTCGGCCGAAGCTTGTCAGCGCCTCGCGTCTAACTCGCTTCCTTTGCTGTCTCATTTTACCGCCTCCCGCCACCCATCCAAAGGTTACCACTTGGCGAGGGCAGGACTAATTTTATAGAGTTTGACGTCGATTCAGTTTCGGGAATGGGGGACCTATGGTGAAGATGTAGCGTGAGTGAGTAAGTGAGTGAGCGCGCAGGCGTGTGAGTGTGAAGTATGTGTGTGTGTGACGCCGCACCGCCGCCATGCGTCCTTTTTCACAGTGAGAGGCTATGTCTGCGCTAAATCATTCATCAGATTCAACGGTCTCCTTTTCGGTGCCGTAAGTGCCGAAGTAGATGCCTAGATCCGCGGTAGGAGGAGGCCGCCGCCGAGACTGTCCTTTTCAGCTTGATCCGATGTCTCGTCTCATCGAGAAAAGTTGGGGAAAAAGGGGGCGCTGTTTGGGCGTACGGTGCACCAGACGACCACCACCGTACTCCTCCATGTCCGTGATGCCTTCAACATCCGCCCCCAGCTAGGTTGATCGCCGTTGCCGCCTCCCCTCCCCTGAGTCCATGGCAGTGGTGTAGGTAGGCACGGGATGCGCCGGTTTCGGGAATCGGGATCCAGGCCAAGCCTCACACACACCCACTCCATGATCCATCAACATTCAAATATTCCGAAAGTTTGACGTGTCTGGGTAATGCCGGCTCATCGCGGATACCAGATTCCCGGTTGCCTAGACTAGCTGCGAGCGTGGTGTTCGGTACCACACAAAGCTGTCAAGCTAAAACCAAGAAGAAAAGGAACCAAAAAGTGCCTCAAAAGCTTCCATGGAATGAACTCCGGATAAGGGAACCTGACTCGCGGACAAAGTGTAAATGCGCCCCGCGTCTGGTTGACGATCGCAACGACATTCGCTGGTCTAGCACATCACGTTAGCCACAATTGGGACGATTTGGCGAGGGACGGAACGAAGAGATGACCTACTGTAGTGTAGAGAGACGCACGCCGCGCACACCCGTCTCAGAAAACAAAGTTTATCATGTCCGATAGTCTGGCAGACTTTCAGACTTTCCAGAAACCTTGTGGCGCGTGTCAGCCAACGTGAGTGGTGCGGATGACAAGAGGAGGGCGTTAGTAACGCGCCACACCGTAGCCCAGCGTCAAACGTTTTGGGGCAGCAACCCTCAAAGGAATCCGTTAGTTGCGTGCTCTTGGTGCGCCAAACGCTCTTGATATGACGACCAAGTCATGCCATCCCGCAATGGCAACCTAGGCAATCCACCACCAGCACCCAACCAGCCAACCAACTAACCTCCATTTCGAAAACAGATTGGTCACTTTTAGAAGGGGGGCAGTTCCGCGAGGCTACTAACAAGGTTGCCATCAACCCGGGCCAACTGTCCTAGGGCCATTTCCCGACGCTAGGAAGTCATGTCTGCATATCACTCTAATGCATCATCATCTGGAGTTGATTTGCCGTCTCCCTCTCTCACACTGCACTTCTTCTGAACGACAACGGGATCGAATGAAAGAGACTTCCACGCCACTCCGGATTCTCACCGGGTGATCCGTATGCCTATCAAACACTAGCTTGCGGGTTGGAGAACGGCAGAAGCCCCAAGGTGGCAAATGGTTGGACCCTGGTGACGGAAGTTTAACTGCATCAAGCCCTTGATGAGGGTCTTGAGAGATTTCTCGGGCCAGGGCGTAGGGCTTGACTATCACTGGCAACTGTCCGAGAAGATGGTTCATTGGGAATCTTTGTACAATGCCCTCGGAGGGACTAACACGGCAGGACAGTTGCTAGACATTATCGACGGGGTTCCATCATCCGACATAGTCTTAATCAAACTGGTGAAGGTACTCTCACATGTCGCAGCATATTGTAGAAAGCTGAGAGATCGCGATCTCGTTGTTGATCAACGACATGTCACCGAAGCACACGGCTTCCTATCCAGAGAGGGGAGGTGATGGGATGATCCGCACTCTATCGGAGACACAGAACTGCGTCCCAAGGATCGGGGCATGAACGTCTCACACTTTACTTCATTTCCTGCCAGAAAGCGGAAACCCACGCAGCGCCATCATGGCGAGCGATGATCTCGCCAATCTCGGGCTTGGGGCATGCAGAAGTTGCAGTTGTGGATGCTAGTGTGTAGAGTTGGTACACCGCAAGGTGGTAGACTAACGGAGCGGTGGACGTCTTGCGCTCAGAAGCTGCGCATGTGCTGAAGAAGGCGCTGGCCGGTATTGGGCCGGCCGTGCTGTGGCTTTCGCAGCACAGCAGAGGCCGTACAACGTTGCTTGATGATCTATGGTCTTGGGTGCAAGAAGCCGTCGAGAGATCGGGTGAAGCGTCCCGGCCGGGACGCAGTGACCAAAGGGAAGGAGACAAGCCAGGAAAAGGGGGACTCCAGTGAGGGGGAGATTGACGGATGGCGGATGTTGTGACAAATGCTTGAGGTGCAGCAGATGGATATGTCGTTCGACAAAACATCAGGAACTTTTCCCCCTTGCACGCGTCGAAGATCATGGAACCTATACAAGGGCGGCACCCCCCCTGAAGCCAGGGACAGAGCGAACCTGACAACCATCAGGCCAAGCAGCCAACAGATACGCGCACAGGGAAGCCCAAGCTGTGTTATCGAGCACGTGGAGGCAACAAGGTGACTGACGGCTGGCAGGGCGGATCCAACTCAGACCCGTTGGGGACTAAGTTGCGTTCAGCCACAGACCGAGGCAAAGAAATGGCGTTCGACGGCCGCGGGGTGCGCTTGTTTTGCGGTAATCCATGTGCCTGGAGCCAGTGGATAGCGAAGAAAGTTGGCGTGTTGAGCTAGCTGCGCCGAGTAAAGTGTCGATAATGAGCATGGGCCGAGTCAGAGAGACACAGCGTCAATCAGGTTCGACCGTATCATTGTCGACCGCGGAAGCGCCAGACGTTTGGCTTTGGGAAACAAAAGCCAAGGCGAATTAGGAGCCAAGAGGATGGTCAAGCCGTCCCGGCGGCCATGATTCGTTCCACGAGGCCAGCGACCGGTCCTTCTTAGCTCGCAGCGCTTGTCATGCTGTGAACTGTCAGAGCCCTGGTCACAGGTCAGTGGTGGAAATCCTCTACGAATCGTCTTGGAGTGGCTTTCTTAGCCTTGGTCTTGCAGCATTCAAGTGGCATGCAAGTATCCAGTGTTCACCCAAGCAACGGAAGGTTTTCAAGTATGAGATATGGCTGGGGAACAGGCATAAGAATCAGGATTGCGTGACTGTGCCTCGGGAAGGACTAGCGGCCCACGGTGAGAGTCGAGCAAGAGACACCGGGCTCGCGGAGAGCGGAGCCAAGGTCGAATGCGTGGGTTGAGACGGCGATGACCTCCGAAGAGCTTGCTAGGATGAGGGCCAGAGGTTGTCACAAGGCCGGGGCTTGGCAACGGCGGCCGGGGGTTGGAACTTGGGCTCCAGAGTAGAGCGAAGAGGCGATTTCGTTGGCTCATGGATATGGCGTCTGTTAGGATAGTGGAGAGAGTTGAGGGGTGGGCACGGCACGAGAAAAGTCGGACGTCGGGTCCAACTTCCAGGGCCCATACTGCGTAGACGACGGGCCATGGCCGGTGAGGTAGTGCTGCTTCTCTGCATGGTGTAGCAAGCAGCTTTGGGCTAGTATCCGCAGTGTGAACATGGTCAGGTCAGGTTAGGCCCATGGCGGTGATGCTCGCTCGGTGTGTATAAGGTAGGTAAGGTATCCGTTGGTAAGTGTGGGAACTCTTGAGTGCGAGCCTGCCTGCGAGGGACGGGCCCAGGAGTCGGGTAGAGATGGATGGACAAACTGTCCGTGAGGTAACCGTATGTGTGTAGTAGATTACTACCTAGTGTATCGGTTCGTGCCAACTTTCAGGGAAGAGGCAGATGAAGGAAGCATTAGGGCCATTGTTGCTCGCTTCTTCCTGCCCTGTCCCAGACGAGGGTACAGTTGGTCTTGCTGCAGCTCAAGGGTTGTTGTTACTGTATCGGTATCCGTACATACCTAGGTAAGGTGAGGTAGGTAGGTAGGTATTGTTGGAGACTTGCAGTCGAGTGACCAGTTGCTGCGGTGGACAGTGGAGGTCAAAAAAGAACTGAAGAGCGCTAGATTAACAAGGCAAAGCGCAGATTTCGTTTGACACCAACCCGAGGTAGGCAAGGGCCGCAAGGCCTGTGGTGAGACTCGATGTACTATGCAGTAGACTGTAGAGGTAGGTGCTGGGTGGGTGCACACAACACTCACCTGTTCCTGCCCCCGGCTCCATTACTGACCGGCTACTACTGGCTAGTGTTTCCCGATCAGGCAACCTGGGTATTTCTAAATATAGCCAGATGCAAGGCAACCATCTGACCGGGGGTATCGGGGGAAAGGCCAATCATCTGGCACCTGCCATCCGCTTCCTGCCTTTTTTTTTTTTTTTTTTTTTTTTTTTTTTTTCCAGTCTTTCTTGGTCCTCATCCTCTTCCCTTCCTCGCTTCCAAGAATGCAAGCATGGAAGATTCCTTTCTCAAGACCCCTCTCCCTGACCACCAGCGGTACCACAAAAAAGTCTGTGAGGTTTCCACAGCTTTAATTCGAAGAAGAGCGATGGAAAAAAATAAAATAAAAAAGTAGCCACCGGGGCAAGATGGGCTCGGCAAATCGGCTCCTTGCGCTGGGGAACGGCGGAACTAACCTTGTTCAGCCATAGAAGGTACCTTGCAGTGTCTGACCCATCGCTTCCACTGCCCTTGCCTTTCATCAGTATCAGTATCCGTAAAAGTACCTCGAAAAGTACTCCGTACTTCGTACCTTCCATGAGGTGGCTTGTACCTTCTGTCTGGAGTTCGATCTGGCCGCGCTTCCCTTAGCATTGTTTACCGTATGTATGGAAGGAGGAAGCAACAGCAGAAGCGGGAGTGCCTTCCACCTTCCCAATTCCTCACTACCTAGGTACTTGCTATGGAGTTCAGCTACTTTGGTTTGGAAGGCGAGAGGGAACAATTGAACCTTTTGGTACAGCGTGCTAGCCGAGATACGTTACCTTGAAATTCCCCTCACAAAGTCGGGAAGCCACGCCGCGCGACGGGTAATGCCAAGACTTCGGCGCAACGATCAATCGAGACAGTACAGCTGTGTCTTCCCCCCTGATGGCTAAGGTAGCTGCTAGCGTCCACCGGCAACAGGAGCCCTCCACTGGTTCCTCGGTCCTCCAAAGTCCAAGACTCAAAAGTGCTTGTCGATTTAAGAAACTTCAGCCCAGAGGAAAGAGCAAAGACGTCATCATGGGGCCATGTTCCAAGCAGTTCTTACCTAACCTACTCTGAACGTGGTTTGGCCCTCTCACTACTCGACGTTCTCTTTCTCTCTAATGCGTAGGGGTAGGGACTCTCCCTTCACCATCCTGGATGCCTCGGGTCATGAACTTTTGCATTTCTCGGCTTCACTTTACTCTAATCGAGCCCACGCTAGCGGCTGGATCGATGACATGAGACGACAACCTCTCGCTTCACTTCACTTCTCCAGGGAAATCACAAATGTTGAGGCGGTAAAATCCACAAGACCGCACCAAAGTGGCCCGTCTGGAGACTGGCACCGCGCAGACGGACATGATCCTGTCAACATGCACATCATCCGCCTTCAAGACAAGGTCTGCCGTCGGTTAGGCTCATTGTTTCGCTGTATCCCCGCGGATACAGACTGCAGACATATGGATACATAGCAGAGTACTACTTTGTCTTCGTACTGTACCTCCCGTCACTGACAGTCGAGACAGTATTCCCAGCTCTGTCGACAGCCGGCCAACCACGTCTGGCCATGAATCCATCATAATCACCAAGCTTCTTTGCCCACACCCTTCCCACCTGGCTAAACCCTATCTGGTATGAGAGTCGGCCATTCATGGTGCTGCTACGCCCCCCCAGTCATTGGCCTCCCTTCGACGTTCCTTTCTGCTCCGCTAAGCGGTGGAACTCCGACACTTCCCCTGCCGATTGTGCCCGGTGTGCCGCTCGAGGCATGGTGGGGAAGGACGGCCCTGCGCATTTTCCAGAAGCCCAAGAGAAATGCCAACAATTTTACAGCAATTAACGATAATAAACGAGAATGACCGCTGCCGCCCACGAACGGTGAACCCACGACGGAGACGGGCGGATCAGTATGAGCGAATTACCCATATCCATATGATATGATACCCCTCGCCTCGCCGCCGATGAAGAGTACGTACCATCTGTCCGTACGCTTTCGTCTACAGAGTACGGACGGAGACCGGATACACCATTGTCTTGGAAGTTGGGCTTGCAAATTCTCCAAGAGTCCAACCCCCCATCGAATCGACGTCCCACGCTCTGATCAGTCATCATTATTCTCGACTCCAAGCCCCCTCCCCTGGTGGACAGTAACGGCCCCCTTGAAGACCTAGGACCCGGCCGGCAAGGAGAAGCATTGGCAAAGGAAAATCTGCTAGTCACTCGGCCGACGATATGCCATAGATTGACATCTGGCAGCATAGCTGCCCGTTTGAACCCCCGAGCCTAGGGCTGTTATGCTCACCCAGCCGCCCATGCCCTGTCCCCGGCTCGGACTCGCAGCGGATAAACTACCTTCATCAGCAAAAGTCCATGGCAGAGTCGCATCTTCTCCGCACCGAAGAGTTCTCGACGCGGAGCAAAGCTTGGAGACCCTGGCCAAGCCCATTGTCGAATGAAGGCCCAGGATAATTGAGGTCATGCGCCATATAAACAAATCACCGCCATCCACTCTGCTGATTGGCATCGCTTGCATGCGTCCAACTCTTGAATCTCTGCATCTCTGCATCGCTGCATCTTTCTAGGTACCTCTGGCTCTGCGTCTGTGGCTGATTAGTGTGCGTCCACCGACCAACCCACTGATCGGACGGCAACTGCACTCTGCAGTGTGGTACTAGCTCGACATTTTGCCCTTCTCACCGCCTCCTATCCATCGAAAACATGGTTGGCAAGCCTCGCTTGGTTTGCAGCGTCTTCTGCTACCAGCACGCATCCTGATATCTCTGTGTGGCTTCTGCCAAGGTAGCGCTTGACAAACATGGCGGGTCGGGATGGGAGGAAAGCTAGCCCCGAGACTCCGCTAGTTCCGTGGCGACTTCGCAGCTGGACTGGCTATCCACAGATCTTGAGGGAGGCTCACGGTCTCACCGGGCTGCCGGGCTTGTGGATTTTCAGAAGCTACAGAAATACAGCGGGCAGCAGTGTGTGGGGAGGACGGGATTACAAAAACACCACTTTCTGTGGGCGCCGTGGCACGAACAGCGTGTTGGAGAGGCAGATCTCTTTCCCTAGCCTTGAGGCTTCCGGGACACCCCATGCGTCTACTCACCGCGCTCGGCCGTCGCGGCTCGCACAACGTCCAACTCACATATGCGGGTCGGTGATGCGCACAGGGTTTCCCTTTGCCCTGTCGGTCAAAGAGCCAATGGTAGCTGGCGGCCGCAATGTTTCCACCATCATACTGCGATCAGCCCGCGCTGTGCCCGCGCGCTGTCTGAAATTTCCCACTATCTCGACGTGACGGCGGCAGTGGGGGCATGTCAAGTCCGCCATCTGCAGGGCCGATTTCGAACCCAACATGGCTCCTTGGAGGACTCTCTAGTTGAGACCTTGACACGTCCCGAGCGCGGGATCGTCTTTGCGCCCAAATCAAACATGGCGGCGGATGTCGATCACCAACAAGTCTACCGGAGACGGAGCGAACGGCGTGCCCTAAATCGCTGCCTGTCGGCGACTTAACGAGTGAGGTGCCGCCTGTCCCAATGCTATGCATCATCGGCAGACAGCTAGCGTACTATGGAACGTTGCGTCTCTCAGCCCCATCCGACGCATCATACGCATGACATTGCTGATGTTGCCGAATATGGAAAAGACAGAGGAGAGAAAAAAATAATTATGTGGCTCCAGATCAGCAAATGCCGTCTCCCAGAGGACCCTGAGAGCTGAAATGCCCCGGTACCCGAGAAGTCTCTCCAATGCACTCGAAAGCCAAAGCACGCGGTGTGAATTTGGCCGAAATCTCGCAGACAACGTGAAAGAAGGTTATTTAAGAATAGAAACCCGCCTTGCCGAATACGGCAAGAACCAGATGCCCTCAACCATGCTTCTGCATGGATATTGGGAGGAGGACACCATATCAGAGCCTCAGGCCGCTGGTCACTCTTCGCCAGCCAATCGACTGAGACACACAGTAACTTCGGTCGGTGGCGGGGAGGGAAAAAAAAAAGTGCCATGATGTGGTGCTTTTGTTGCCAGAGGCTCGCTGACGCTCACATCACCGTATGGACCGGATTACGCAGACGGGCCGAGAAGCGTATGTTGATGTCAAGATGATGCAGGTTTCTTTCGACTCTCCTGCACCGCCGACCTCTGAGGCTTTGTACGCTTCTTGTTCCTGCATTTCCTGCATCGTAACTTCGGACGGTCGGTAGGTCACGTCCGGCGGCCGCTCTCCGACCTGCCTTCAACGACTGGAAGCTGGCAAGCTGCCTTCCATTTACCTCGGTTCCTTGGACCCTAAGAGAGAGCGCCCACATCTCCAAGATTCCAACATCCCGCCCAGCAAGGCCAAACCCACTCGTGATGTCTCTTCGGAAGATTACCTCGCTGCTGCTTCACACCGCTGCTGGCCAACAAATGACTGACTCCATATCAATGTTTGGTGTGCTGGTCCTGGTGTGTTCTGTGTCATGAAAGGACATCCCTGACAGTCTGACAGGGTTGACAGGAGAGCCATACGGGGCGGTCAGGCACAAAGAAGCGGACCTCACACGGGCCCGGCCAGAGACGGGCGACCCTTGACACGCGCGCGCACTCATCGGCCTGTGTGGAAGCTGACTTGCTGGACGGCGTTGAGAACAGCCACCGCCACGACATACGCAGTAAGCGTCACGTCCCCGAGAGCCGGCACAGACAGGTTGACGGTATGTTGCTGGTTGCGCTAAGCGGTGACACCAGGTGCCTCGTGGTTTGTGATGGCTATCTGAGATCTCGTTGACAATTCGGGAAAGTTGCTTATGACGAGCCCCCCGTTCATGTTTCTCATTCCAGGGCTGGAAAAGCAGAGCATGGGTCAGATACCCTAGCAGCGCACGCCAAAAATGGACACGAGAAACTGCTGTTTCAGCCAACCAGAACCAGAAAGACGCCCTGCAACTCCGATCTCCTGGCCCCTTGCAGATTGGTAGAGGCATGTTCAAACAACGACAAGAGACAAGAGCAAGAGATGGAAGCCCTGGGTAGAAGCGACCCGCGCTCAACCCCAGCGCGGCGGAGCAGACATTGGGGGGGGGGGGGGGCATTCTGAGAAGGCTTCGGAGGAAATGCGACGAGACCTCGGGAGACAGAGATCCCCCAAGGAGATTCATTCTACTTGAGACGGCGCTCCAAAGCATCACGTCTTGTTCTTGCTGGGGAAGAGGGATCGAATTAACGTTTTTTTGTCTTTGAATTAGTCTTCTCCACCGACCTCTCACTCTGACTCGCTGCTACTCGATGCACCCGCCTACACTACGGATACCAAGCAAAAAGGCAAGCTACGCTAGCGAACCCACCGAGGTGAAGCTGGACGCCGAAGTAGAGCGGGGAAACGATCGTGGCACTTTTTTTTCTTTCTCTTCCCTTCTCGGACCTTCATCTCTAAAACTCTTTCACGCTCATCTCCAAGCCCTTGGCCACAGTGCTCCGGGCGGAGATGCCCAGCAGATGTGACATAATAGCAACGACCTCAAACCTTAGTCCCAAGATCTGCCCGATTCGCCTTCATGATTTGACATTCGGTTGGCTCCGGCAGTCGTCTGAAGTGTATCGGGACACAGCCGAGGGGCACATTGTCAGCCTCCGGAGACGAGAATGGGATCATGGACTGTTTCTCAGACTCGGCAGGGACTTTGGCTACAGACAGGGGATAACCTCAAGGGATCGATGGACACGCGAGTCGGAGAAATAACACAAGGCAGAACACAGGCCCCCAAACGTCGCACCGAGACGGTTGGACGCTGTGTCGTTGCTTCACCAGAAAAGCACAAACCACCAAGCACTTTTGATGGTTTGTTTTGGCAGCGGCAGCAGCAGATCCATACCATAGTGGACAGTGGGTATAGTTGGTGTTTGCCCATCAACCCCCTGCCACGGCATCGACCCAGGTCCTGGTAGGGGAACTTGTGTGAGTGCTGTGGTTCGAAAGCTCGGACTCGACGGCACAGGCTTGAAACCATGTCTTGAATGACCGTCAGGTTTCTCTGGCTGATGTTACCTGGTAGGTCCTAGGCCGTATCTGGCGTCGCGGAGAGTTGTAGCTTAGCCTAGGAGAGCTTTCAACTCGCCTGATAGTCCTTGGCTGTTCTCTTCAGGACGGTGTCCACCAGCCGGGCGCCTTCATTTTCGTCGCCGCCGCATCGCGCTGGCGCTTCTTTCGGCATAGCATACCACGGGGCAAGGTCCGCATGGGTGACGGGGAGCTCAAGGGGGAAGTATGCACGGATGCCCATGATCCATGACCGCATAACGTTCGTCAGTCGTTCTAGTGGGCTAGAGATGGGAACAGGGTCCTTCCTCTTCCGGTCGGAATGGGAAACGATGCAAGGACACTCTTCCTCGATAGACCAGGACCGGGGCGGGGCTCTAGCTGAGAGTTCGAGCTCCTTATCCTTCAAGGTTGTGGCATGACGGGAGTCGAACTCTCTTGCTTTTTGGACAGTTCTCGCCGCGGCAATGTCAGCTTCCAGAGATGTCGAGACGATGGTGGCAGAGACGCACTCGTCATCTGACTTGGGACGATTGCGTGTGCAACTTCAGAACGCAGAGGCTCTTGCCCTCAAGGACTCGATCAACCACGCAACAGCGAGGCGAGAAAAGCTGTACGAAATTTGGTATGCAGAGTCGCAGACACAGGCGCGCCGCAAGCAATACCTACCTATACCCATGCCCGCGGAGGCTATTTGTTGGACCCAGTGCTAGGGCCGCCCGATTGGGGTCATAGGGCAGGCGGTAGGTACTCCGTACAAGTTACAACAAATGGGCAATGGGTGTCGTTGGGAATGGGGAGAGAGCCACTCGCTGTGGACGTACACACGGAGAGAACCGCTTCCACTGCTGGCACAGGCCAAGGTGACGGGACCTTTGTGTAGGGTTCTGGCGACGGACGGTACTGCATGTCACCACACCCGGAGCCATAGAAAGGCAAGCAAGTTGAGTCCACATGACGATGTTGGCCGCCTAGTCGGGTTCTGACCGAATACATCATGAAGAGCACCCTCTCAGGCTCTCAGCCCCGGAGAAGACTAGTCGGATGCATACCATGCAAGCCCAAATGGCGAATGCCGAGGGCAATGGATTGTTACTCTGGGCGGTGCTCAACTCAACTTGTCCACGGTCGCCGCCTGCTATTCTCATGCTATAGGCCCCGCAACTCAATTGTCGACGCTATTACCTAAGTCACCTGATTCTGCCAACTGGGTGACGGTGGTCTGCCGAGCCAGGAGATGACTTTGATCACAGCTTGACAGAGAGGCCCAGTATAGAGTGGCCTGCAAAGAGTGAAGAGGTTTCCAGCCGCGAGCCCCAACCATGAGGGCTTTTGGCGGCCATGGGGATGTTGTCCTGGATCGCGGAGTCTGTCTACCCCTTCATTCATCTCTTTTCGTCTTCCTCTCCAAGTCCATAGTTGGGATGGACGAAAAAAGCAGCGAATACTGCTTGCCGCCCGAGCTCCGGTCTGGCGGGCCCCTTTTGGCTTTTGCCCGAGCATTCACATTGCCTAGATTTCCTGCTGAACGGTATCACGAAGAATCAAGGGCGCAGAGCTAAGCTCGCATGAAGCTGAGCCAAGTGGTTGTCTGGGACTGGACGGTGAGCGGTGCTCTCTGTCATCGGCTGAGTGGGCGCGTTGCACGAGCATGTTTGCATGAGCATGAGCGCAAAAGAGGGCGAGAGACCGAAAGATGGGATGAGATGGGATGGATTGAGTTGAGTTGAGTTGGGCCGGGGACGTCGTCCATGACTGGTTCGGCAGCGTCGCAAAGAGTCACCGGCACAGACGCTGGCACAGACAGGCAACGATACAGTACTCGCTGACTGGCGATTGCTTCGCCTCCATCGTGTTGACTAGCTCCCTGCCGACACCTCGCCCGCAGCGTGTCATTGGACTGGATCGGGACAAGATTAGCCCCTGCCCCTATTCTCTGACCTTTGACCTCTAAGACTCATACAGCTTCCCGGCCGGTGGTAGTGAGGTCCAGTCAAGCGAGCATCGAAAATAGAGAGGCTATACGGAGCGATAATGGAACAGCATGGCATGGCATCAGCGGCGCGACGCAGTGATGCGATGATGGGCCGGTAGCAGGGGGCAGCAAAGGTAACGAAGCCATTCCCGAAGGAGACAAGCAGCGAAAGCAGCCGCGAGAGTGAGACCAGCGGCAGAATCGCCCACAGCAGCAACAGCGACGGCGCCAGAGAGGCGAAGGTAACAGAGGCAACGGGGCCCTGTGCCAGCGCGCCCGAGGAGAAACCAGCCACACATTCAGCGGACGGCTAACTGGGAAGGGCATGGCAGAGGAACGCGCTAGAAAGTCTCCAGATGGAACATGGAGATGGTGCGGCTTGTCAACTAGTGCTGGAGAGCATGTTTCCGTCGGCGAACTTTGGGACGTGAAAGCAAAAAGCGAAGCAAAGCAGAAGCAGCAGCTTGAGGCGCAGCAAACCCAAGGGCCGTCTCCCAGTGGTCGGTTCGATATGGAGGGGGAGTGTGTGTTGCTTGGAGAGAGAGGTGCGAAAGGAGGTGGGAATTCGGCATGGACACGATGCGAGCGTGTTGCGAAACCATGATTCCCACAGTTGTTCAGCCCCATTGCGGACTAGAATCATCAGCACGCAGCGTGGGGAGGAGAGAAAGTCTCGAGAGGGTGAGGTGAGAGGCCAAAGTCAGTCAGTCAGTCACTCGCTCACCAACACACACATTTCCTCTCTGTCTCTCTCGCAGTTTCTCTTACCTTTACCCCCCTCACTCTCAGTTTCTCTCTCTCTCGCTCACTTACTCACCCACCCCTCGGCTTGGTCGGTCAATCATCTGTCTTCTCTTGGATGGACTCGACCCCACCGCTTGTTTTCACTTCTCGGTCCCTCCCACTGGTGGCCCCCAGTCACCAGTGAGTGGCCCTTTCGCCCCGGCCCCCGGCCTCTCCCTCCCTCTGCGTTAGTTCTTTTGCAAGTGAGAATCGCCGCCGCCTTTGGTTGGGGCCCAAGAAGCCGGCTCACCCACGGGAGGAGGGGCCCAAGGTTATTTTTAATTTTGGCTCGTTTTTGGGTCGACCTTTGGCGGGTGAACGGGGAGATTGGCGGTGCGATGGACAAACAGCACATTGCCCAGTACAGCACAAAACTAACATTTCGGGCGTAGTCCTGTATTTACACTCGACACTACGATCCTACTACGGCCGTCTTTGACAGATACCGACGTTGATAGACACGGTAGACGCGGAATAGCGCCGAGGGTCTGCTCGTCTAAGGAAATCCCAGACTACCTACCTTACGGCTGGTTACCACTACCTTTGACTACGAACGACTACCGAATGCTGGGGCAAGCTGCTCGGGTCCCGTGTCAATACACGCCGGAACATCAAGACATGATGATGGCCGTTGACATCAAGCTCATCAGACATGACAAGGAATCTTTTAGTTAGCACCTATTCATCCATGCCGGCGGCGACTTCGACCCATTATCTCCTGTATTCCTGTACTCCTCTTATTCTTCTTCACCCCCATTTGGCGAGTACGTACTCATCTTCTTCCGCCCTGCCGGATTCTTTTTGTAGTCGTCCCATCCTCGATGAGAAATAACTCTTCTTTACATCTCTCATTCTCATTCTCGTTCATTCGTCTGCTCCCCCCAGTCTCTCCATGCATTAAAGTACATGCACACGCCTGCGTTACCTTGTGTACGGACACACACAGAGCCAATCCTTACCCTCTCCCTCGCCTCGATTCTTTGGCTGACCATAGCCGGGATCCCTGCTCTTATTCCCCTTCCCATCTCAGAGTCCCATCTCACCCCAATCCATCCCATCCCTTCATACTGTACCTATCTTAACAGGGCATCGCGATTCACTCCCGCCCCCCTTACGGACGACAACGATACGGAGAGAAGGAAGAAGAAGAATAAGCTCCGCGACGCACCAGTCTTCACCGACACACTCCAAGCCTCTCTGTCCAACAGGCTTAACCCCAGCCGCGGACGACTGTGTCAGAATCCGCGAAAACCCTGTTTCTCGGATCCAGAACCTGTTGGATCTGTCATTACTGAGGCCACTCACTCGGTCTCTGTCACCTTTGGAAAAAGCATACGCAGTTGGAGAGAGAGCGAGGGCAATAGTGTACAAATACGCTGCGTATACTCTCACACACCCGACACCCGCGACACCCGCATACATACACACGCAAATACATAGATACATCTCGCACATCGCTGAGAGAGAGAGAGAGAGAGAGAGAGAGAGAGAAAGTTAATGACCCGGTACGTACGGATTTCACACTGCCTAGTCCCAGCAACGATCCCAGCACGGACGGCCCCTCCCCTCCACAGTCCACACATGTCCCTGTCCCATCCATTTTCTGTCTCCTCTCATAGCCCTGCACCTTGCACCCGCACCTGAGCCTGGGGTCTGCGCACCTGGACATCTCATTCACATCCACACACACTCGCACTCACACACACACCCACCCTCGCCCAGATGGAGGAGCATCAGCTGCAGCAACCTGCACAGCACAGCTGTTTTTCTCTTTGCTTTCTTTTCCTCTGCCCTTGCTCACAGGTCATGCCCCGTTATTCCCACCCGGTGGTCATGCCTTGCCCCGATTAGGCCGGGACCTGGTGTGGCACTTCTCAACCGTGTGTGCTGCCCTCTTCCTGAGCCAAAAAGCCAGACTGGACGGAGCCTGTGTGTGAGTGGTGTGCATCCATGTGTGTGAGGGTTGTGCTGTGCCTGCTGCGGCCACTGTCTCTCCTCCTCTTGGGGGACGTGAGGGTGAGGTGCCATTATTTAACTGTATCTGTCCCCGGCCCATCTACCACCGCCTTTCCTGTCTCCCCTCCTCTCAGCCTACATCAAACATCAAATCCCATCAGCCTCGTTGAGCTGCTCGCGCTGTCCTCAACCACATTCGCTTTTTCCTAACTCTACTCTTAGGAAGTCCTCGTTGACTCCTGTCATTCGCTTTCGCGTTCTTGTGTTTTTCTTCTTCCGCCAAAATCTCAAAACCGTCCTCCTCCAAACCAACCACCTCCCGCCCTCTTGTTTCAATTATTTCTCTCCCAACAAGATCCTCGGAAGAGAAACAAAACCGAACACAAAAAGGAAAGGAAAAACCTAACTCTCCAACCCGCGCTCAGTCTACCCCAGCAGCCTCAGCCTCGAAGCATTCATCGCCAAATACCCTGGTCTCCAGCCTCAACAACTCCTGGGACTCGCTAGCTTACAACCCCACCTCTCCCACAACTCGGCTTGTAACCAGCAAATGCTCCATCACTGAACATCGGTCTTCTGATCAACCACACTCGCTTTTTCGGAAACAGAGGACTTGAGAGATATACAACGGAAATTCGGGAAACTCAGAACCCGCCCACCCACGATCGCTATCAGTATCAGGAACTGGGAACAGGAGAAAGGAAAAGAAAGGGATCAAGGACAGAAAGAGACGTAAGAGGAACCCGCCAAATCGATTATCGAGCAAAGCGGCCTTCTTTACCAATTTTCCTGTCATTTGCCTCACACCGAGCGCCTGACCAACCTGCTGCCAGTCGCTTACACATCCGTGGACGCATTTGCTCCTTTGCATCGCTTGCCCCGGTCCATCGACACTCTCGCGCAGTATTAAAGTCTAAGTCTTGAGACTAAGCCTTACGTTACTTTCCCAGTAACGATCCTCCACTCGCTATCCATACACGGTCGTCTGTCCGTGTATACTCCCATGTGCGTGTTGCGCCTGCCCATCGTTTCCCGACTTACACTGACACGCATAGTTCTTTCGTTTAGTTCATCCCCGCGCTCACAATGGCCGGTCCTGGTGGTGGTCCTCCCCGCCGCAGTCACACCAAGTCCCGCAAGGGCTGTGAGACTTGCAAACGCCGCCACATCAGATGCGATGAGAACTTTCCCCAATGGTAAGTGCTTCCTGCTCTGTTCCTGAACCGGCAACTAATACAACCCAGCCGCAACTGCACCAAGCACAAGATTCGCTGCCCCTACAACGACATGCCAATGCCCGAGGACAGGTCAACAACGCCCGACAAGCCCGACCTCATGTGGACTCCTGAGGTCGAAGCAGAGATCTCGCAGTGGCAACAGACGGGAATGTTCCCGTTCCCCAACCTCGGCATCTACCCGGCACCGAACCCTCAGTACTTGTCTGTAGAGGATCTCAGATTGATCTATCACGTAGCATCCATCTGCAACGAGTTGGCTACCTTTGATGCCAACGGCTTCACCCTTTGGACACGCCAGATCCCCACGTAAGTAGGAATTCGCCTTTTCTACGTCAAACTGTACTGATCCAAAGTAGCATCATCAAGATCGGAGCGACGAACCCGTATGTCATGCATGCGCTTTTGGCTTTCTCGGCCACGCACATTGCCTTCCTAACCGACTGCCCCCTGGTGGGCAACATGGCGTACGAGCACCGCGGCGTTGCCCTCAAGGGTCTGCAGGAGGCTATTGGCATGTTCGACCGCGAGACGTCGGATGCCGTCTTGGCAGCCTCTCTTGTCCTGTCGTGGCAAGCCACAGATTGGTAGGCAACTGGCAGCAGCCATCCGTTATGCAGTACCGCACTAACGCACAAATTGCAGGCGAAGCTGGACCCAGCTCATGCAAGGAACCTCGTCGGTATGTCGTACACACACAGGAAGCCGCCAGGGTTTGAGAGACGATACTGACTCGCACTCTTTCAGGTCATCGAGGCCATGGACTCCTGGAAGCACGAGTCTCAATTTGGCGACTTCATCGCCGAGAGCTGCACATTCCCAACCGCTCCTGCCTCTCCCAGTCCGGATCACAAGCCGAGCCAGCCACGCAAGGAGGATATTGACGCCTTTAACCGCACCCTGAGCCAGCTACAAAAGGTCGAGGCCCATCTCAAGCACAACAAGGAGGACACCAAGTCAATCCAGCAGTTGATCAGCTTCCTCAAGGGCGCCCGCAAGGTCAGCCCCACGCTGTCCGTCTCCCAGCAGTTTGAGCGCCTTCGTCCCCTGCGGACGTGGCTATTCTGGCTGCCAGTCATGTACCTCAAGCAGACGGGCGGCTCGCCCAGCGCACTCACCATCATTGCCTACTACTACACGGTGGCCCTGATCATGGAGCGTCTGTTCACTGAGATTGGTGCCGCCTACTTTGGCAGTCTGTCCATTGGCCCCGTAGAGGAAATCGCCCGCCGCCTCCTGTCTATCAATATCTCGGCCAACCACGACGGCGACCTGCAGACCCCCCTGACGCTCATGGAGTTCCCCATCGACACGGTCAACGAGTTCCGCTCGAGGATGGGTTGGATCCAGCCCGCGAGAACGCCCTCGTTCCCGCAATTCAACCCTCCCAACTTCTACATGAACGAGCCAGTTCCCCTGCCTCCCGTCAGCGACTCGTATCTGCCGTATGGTCACAACCCTGCCTTCAGCTACAGTGCCGAGTCCCTGCAGATGCTCAATGCCGAGTCGGCGCCGCCCAGCAACGTCTCCCCCTTGGTGCTGTCGTCCCCGTACGTCAACTCGCAGTACCTCAACATCCCCAGCCCCAACTACGGCGGCTACAGCCCGGCATCTTCGACATTTGAGGGCT